GTGAGAGTTCTTCCTTTTTCCTGAGCTTACTTGGGCTCCCCCACTTCTTCGTCTTAGGGACAGCATTACCAGTTTTTTACATACTCCCCTTTGGAGATAGTATGTACATGTTCATGTGTGTATTCTCTTTTTCCCTACATAAATGATAGCATACTGTTCTATAAATTGGGTTTGTTTGTTTTTTTACTTGACAGCATATGTTGGAGATTCTTTCCTATCAATATCTATAGATCTGCTTTATTTATAATAGCTGCATGGTATGGTATTTCATCATATGAATGTTCATAGTTTATTTAACCAGTCCCCTACTAATATCTGGGTTGTTTTTTGATACTATAGTCTTTTGAGACTACAAACAATGCTAAGGAAATATGCACATACTTTCTTATGTGAGTGTTTCTTTAGGATGCATTCTTAGAAGTGCACTTGCTGGGTCAAAGGATATACTGCTTCCATATGTGTCTTAAATTTTAATGGAGACTTAAGTATTGTGCAGCATACCAAGCATAAATGACCCTGTCTGTTCCCTGCCCTAGTTAAGTTCTGTATATGCTGCAAACAATGGAGCTTGTAGTTTGTTGAAGAAAGTTTTGATGAGAAAGTTGGAATCTAGAATCAATTTTCTCTCTTGGAATAATACATTCCCAAGATTTCAGAGAGAAGACCAGACATCTTATATATTATTGGCTCTATATGTAATTAGGATAGGAATAATAAATTAGAATACTAATAATAAGTATTAAAATTTTTATCATGAAATATTTTTGTTTAAAGTTATTATTTAACTATCACCTTTGCAGACTACAGGCTTGAGGAAAAACACACTTCTATCTCAATTGTTTGCTTTAAAAAATATCTTTATTTTGAGAGTACATTTATTAAAACTGGGGACAGTGAAACAAGGAAGGGCTTAGGGTACAAGAAGCAATAAGAGAGCGCCTAGGTGAGGCTGCTTTGGCTCTCCAGGAGAAAAATGAGCCTAGGCAGGGCTGGTGTCAGCTCACTGGAGAGTCAGAGAAAAGGGGGCCTTGGAGACAGGTTCAGGCAGTTAGCTGGGGATGAGCTGCCACTGCTCATTGCTCCCCTGGTTGCAAGTCTCATGGGAGGGAGAAGTGCACACCAGCATGCGCCTGGGAGGGGGAGCATGCCTCAATTGTTCGCTTTTTAAATATAAGTTAGGTTGCCAATTTTGGATGAGAATATTCCTCAAATGTATAAAGCACTTCGGTGTCGTCTTCTTTTTTTTTGGTACATACCCCTAGCAAGAACCGAACCCGGGGCTCTCTGGTCCACAGGCCGATGCTCCAACCGCTGAGCCAAACTGGCCAGGGCACTTCTGTGTCTTCTTAAATAGGATATCATGCATCAGCACAAAAGAATCTAATCAGTTACTGATAAGTGGGCCACAGTTGAAAAACTTGAATTATTCTTAATAATAATATTAATTATATAATTAATAATAAAATAATTATTATTCTTTTGTTGTTGTTAATCCTCACCTGAGGATATTTTTCTATTGATTTTTAAATAGAGTGGAAGGAAGGGAGGGGGAGAGAGAGAGAGAGAAACATCGGATGTGAGAGAGAGAGAGAATTTTGGTTGCCTCCTTTACGACCCCTACCAGGGCTGGGGATCGAACCTGCAACCCAGGTATGTGCCCTTGACCAGGAGTCGAGCCTGCAACCCTTTGGTCTGAGGGCCACTGCTCTAACCACTGAGAAAACTGGCCTGGGCATAATTATTATTCTTAATAATAATGGAAGTATAAAGAAGGGCTCTTTGCCTCATATCATATGGCCCAAGACTTTTTCCTATAAGAGCCTTAATCCCAGATCTGATCTGTGGTTTCTAATTTACTGTGGACTAGGGTCACCTGATTACCTTGCTTCTTAGAATTATATGTAAAATAAAAGTAAAAAGGCTCTGGGTGGTGCAAGGGGCTGTACTGTGATTAGAAGCCAAGTGGCTACTGGTACTCTTGAGTTGTCAGATATAAATCCCATTTAGGGGAGGACCTATTATAACTGGCAGAAAGAGGGGTTGGATTCAGTCAGTGTTATTGGGGTCTATTGGCTGGTACTTAGCCATCTGGTAGCTCAAAACCTGATTAGGAGGGACATGGCTAGTTATGCATTATAACAAAATATTTGATATTGGTTACTGTACAGATGAAAAATGTTTTTCATACTAGCAATGGTGTGTTTTACACCCCAGAAAATAGATGAAACCATAAAACCCCTTTGAGTCTGGATTTTGAAATTCTGTAAGATAGGTATAGTATAGAATATGTTGGTAGATAGATTATCTAAAACCGAAAGTGAAGGACTGTTCAGTTAGGAGGAACAAAGGGACATGAGTGGAAAAGACAATTTAAACAGTAAAAGATAGGTAAGGGGAGGCTTCTCACCTTTTTCAGTAGGATAGTTATTATTGTCTTTCCCCTTCTGAATTTGGAATTGACTGTGAAGTAGATTCCTTAATTAGTAGATCAAAAATTTTATAGATTTTTTTTTTTTTAAGGGAGAGATAGAAACACCAAGATGAGAGAGAAACATCAATCATCTGCCTCCTGCACACACCCTACTGAGGATCAAGCCCACAACCCAGGCATGTGCCCTGACTGGGAATCAAACCAAGACCTCGCAGTCCTTGGTATGACGCTCAATCTATTGAGCCACACTGGCTGGGCAGTAGATAAAAAATTTAAAAGATCAGCCTTATTGGTGGGGTTGACTAGAGAATATACCATAGGTCTGTGGTCAGATGGGCTTATTAATACCCCCTCCCTCCAGTTGAACTTAACCCAACAGAATGTTGGACATTTCGGATACTTCTTCATCCCCACAGATTGCGTATTGCAGGACTGAGAGAAGTGCTGGCACCTTGCCGACCATGCCTAGCCCTCCTGGTGCCTCAGTTCTCCCTGAAAGCCCAGGGGGGGGGGGGTGCGTTCGTTTCTTCTCCCAGTTATTGAAGGTTTGGGGAATGAGATCTGAAACATTATAGCTGAAGTCTCTCCTCAGGGAAATATGAGGCTGGGAAGTAGTGGCCCTCCATTACCAGTATGCTGGTGAAGTGCTTTTTTCCCCTTTCCAGAAAATTAAAGCATGAGACCTTTGAATAAATCTTTGTCATTTATTTCTAATCACAGCCTCCCAGCTACTAGGCAATACCAGGAGTGTTCCCAAGGAGAAAAAGAAGTCTTAGAGTTTTATAATAAAAAGTACATTCTTGCCCTGGCCGGTTTGGCTCAGCGGTTAGAGCATCGGCCTGCGGTCCTGAGAGACCCGGGTTTGGTTCCCGCTAAGGGCGTGTACCTCGGTTGCAGTTTGTCCCCGGCCCTGGTCGGTTGTGCGGGTGGCGGCCACTCGATGTGTTCCTTTCACATCGATGTTTCTCTCTCTCTCTCTCTCCCTCCCACTCTACCTGAACAAAAAATGGAAAAATGTCCTCGAGTGAGGATTAAAAAAAAAAAAAAGTACATTCTTTCTCGGCCAGTGTGGCTCAGTGGTTTAGTGTTGACCCATGCACCAAGAGGTCACTGGTTCAATTCCCAGTCAGGGCATATGCCGAGGTTGTGGGCCTAGCCCCTAGTGGGGGGCATGCAGGAGGCGACCAGTCAGTGTTCTCTCTCATCGATGTTTCTGTCTCTCTCTCCCTCACCCTTCCTCTCTAAAATCAATAAAGAAAAAAAAATTTTTTTTAAGTACATCCTTGAAAAGAATCATTTCTGCATTCTGTCCAGGTAGATAATCGTCAGATGTCCAGTGGTTTAGACAATGGAATATTTTCTTTTTGAGGTCATTTAGATGGTTACCTGGAGACCTCAAAGTCACAATGCACTGAATTATTAAGGTAGGATTGGAAACTTAAAAAGTTTAAGTTCCCAGGGTCAGTTAAAACAAGAATAATTTTTTTTTATGCCCAGCCTACTTGAAGTTAATAATTTAGCAGCTTGACCATTGCGACTCGTTTTTATTTCTTCACTCTATTTCTCAAGTTTAAATTGTTAAATCAGAGAGAGTTATAGATCTCTGCTCTTAAAAACTCATAAAAATGGGGCTGGCTGGGTAGCTCAGTTGATTAGAGAGAGCATCATCCCCAATTCACCAAGGTTTCGGGTTCCATCCTTGGTCAGGGCACATACAAGTATCAACCAATGAATGCATAAATAAATGGAAAAACAAATCGATGTTTTTATCTTTCTCTCTCCAAAATCAATCAATCAAAAAAATACTTGCTTAGCCTGGCCAGTGTTCCTTGGTGGTTGAGTGTCGACCCCATGCACCAGGTCACAGTTCAGTTCCTGGTCAGGACACATGTCCAGACTGTGGGCTTGATCCCCAGTGATCACATCGATGTTTCTGTCTCTCTCCTTCTCCCTTCCTCTCTCTCTCAAAATCAATTAAAAAAAATATATATATATATATAAATATATATAAATATATATATAAATACTTGCTTAAAAACTCAATGAGAGAAATCAGTTTGATTTTAAATTTGGGTTCATCTGGAGGCCCAGCAGAGACTAGGTGCTTGCCTGGCAGCCCCTGTTAGAGGTTTATTCAAAAGCATTTGCCTGCGTGTTGGACTGGTGGTATGGGGGTTCCTGGTCCTGGGAAACGTGCACAGCAGGAATGGGGCCACCCCCTCGCCTGTCATGCAACACACGTTCTTGGGGAACCTGGTGCTACACCATTCTAGAGGACCTGCTTCTAAAAATAACAATAATAAAAATTTACCTGCTTCTCTGAAATACCTTTTGCTCCAATTTGGTTTTGAAATCTTGCCAGCAAAAACATGATTAAGACTTACATTTTTTATTAAATATCTTTCAGTAATACTCTGAAAACTGTAATTATTTTCAAGGTTATCTCATTCAAAAAAAGAATTATTCTTTTCATATAGTAAGGGTTTGGTTGTACAGAGTACAAAATGCTGTTTCTGAACTTGTTAGTTTGTTCTTGTTAATTCCTCTCCTTCCCTTTTCTACTTTCCAGAATCCTATTCTAAGAACACCATGGTGTTGGGGCCTGAACAGAAGATGCCAGATGGTAATTTACAGGTTTTGTGTTTATTGTCTAATTTTTATTTGGAATTAGGTTTAAGTCAGTAACAGAAATTTACTATATTTTCCTTCTCGTCTATTCCAACAAAAACTGTCCACATTTGCTTTCCCCTAGCCAACAATGTCTTCATGGAGATCTGCTCCATTCAGAAGTCACCATGTGGTGACTTAAGACAGTAAATGAAAATGGCTTTATAACCACAGAGACCTGCCTTATCTCGTGTCAGTTCTGAGATAAGCCAAAATTAGCTACAAGTTTGCTTTCTATAGCAGTACTGCTTGCAAAGGCAGTAATATTCACAGACCTGTCATAAAAACTTCTAGAGTGCTTTGGCTGCTGATGGCATTTCAGATATGTATGCAACAGTAGAATACCGAGTGTGCACCTTATACTGTATATTTGATGAGAGCGTCTTGACTGCTTTGACTGATCCTTCCTAATTATAAATTTCCCTTTTAGCATTTCCATTCCTTTTTTATAAATTTTCTTAATAAGTTCAGGGCCACTTCAGGTAAAGTGGGTCAGCTCCTTATAGAAAGAAAGCTTTTGTTTTTTGTAACTGGAGGTTGTAAGGATTTCTTGGGAATACTGAGATTAGAGCTTTGTGGTTCAAAATAGCCATTTGATGGCTACAGCAAACTGGGTTTTGTATCTTTTCTTGGCAGATTAGCCTTTTTCTTCCAATCCCTGCCCCCACCCCCTCCCTGCGTTTAAGATTAACTACAAAATGCCAGGGTCAGGAAAACACTGACATCAGTCTTAGATGAGCTCTCCTATCACGAGGTCACACGTGACCCGAAGCTCTTAACTGCAGGCCTTAGTCAGAAGGCAAAGGGGTTCCTGCTTGGTGGTTTCCCTGCAGATTTTAGCCTGAACTGTGGCAGGATTTTGCAACTTCCACATTTTCTGAGAAGCCTGCCAGAGGTATAATGTCCAAGGATGTTTCTTTGAGTAAGTCCTACCAAATATTGGGAGGAGTTGTGGTGGGTGGGTGTCCCACTAGGCTGACCTAGTTTCTTTCTTCTAAAAGGTAGTTTTTTAGGTTATTAAAAAGGCCAGTCTGGAACTGTTATATTTTGAACCCTAGACATCAGTATTTTTAGAAGAAAATGAAATGGTTCTAAAGATTGCCTAGTGGGAATAGAAGTTTGAAAGTAGGAAAACCATTGTGAGATAGATTAGTGTTAAAAACTGATCTAGAGCTGAGTGACTGGGGAAGGGGGTGAGAGGGAGCTTTTTACCATAAGCTTTTTTGTATTTCTCAAATTTTCAATCATGTGAATGTATTGCTTATTGAAAGTTAATATATTGCCCTGGCCAGGTGGTTCAGTTGGTTGGAGCATTGTCCCATACACCGAAAAGTTACAGGTTTGATCCCTGGTCAGGCTGCCTACAGGAGGCTACTGATGGATGTTTTTCTCTCACATTGATATTTCTCTCTCTCTCTCAAATCAATAAAAACATATCCTCAGGCGAGGATTAAAAAATCAATTTATTAAAAAAAATAAATACAAATAAAGTATTAGAAGTAAACTGAGATACAGTCAGATTGCTCTTGAGCCTTTAGGGTATTCAAAATATTTTCAGTATTAATGGATGAATTGTTAGCTTGTTTTTGAAAAAATTATTTTCAAATCTGTTCATTCAGATGATGCTTCTGAAGACCATGGGGACTGCGCCAGTCTTGGTGCCATTAATCCTGCCTACAGTAACTCCTCTCTTCCACAATACACCGGGAACTCAGAGGAGCCCTTCACTACCTATTTTGATGAGAAGATTGCCATTCCTGAGGAGGAGGTTAGTGACAGGTCGTTGGAAGAAAAAGATATGTAGGGAAAACATGGGTAAAAAGTCTGCTGGAACTCAAGATCAAGATCAACAGCCTCAGATCTAATTTTGGCAAGCCGTCTCTGAAGACTCAATTTTAAAAATCAAAATAAGTAGAAATTGTTAAGGAAAATGAGGGCCTTGAAAACTATTGCCAGCTTGTATTAGCATTTTTGGATCAAGGAAGTATGTTCCTTTTTTATGTTGGCTTTTGTCCCATTTGGGTAGTGTTTGGACACAGAGGTACTGATATTTTTACTCCAGTTTTAAAATGAGAGGCTGATGGAAAAGGACAGGTAAGGGAAAGGCTCTTACTTGGACAGAAATAACCAGCTTATTGATAAGAAGTGGATAAGATGAAACTTGTACACACCCAATATCCAACATCTTAAATCCTTTGTTCTTGTGATGTTGATATTGTTGCTTTGTATGTGATAAAACAGATTAGTGGTTTGGAGATGATAATCAGTTTAATTTCTTTCCCTCTCCTATAGTACTCTTGTTTTAGCTTTCGTAAACTCTGGGCTTTCACGGGACCAGGCTTTCTTATGAGCATTGCCTATTTGGACCCAGGAAACATCGAATCTGACTTGCAGTCTGGAGCAGTGGCTGGGTTTAAGGTAAACATCTAGTTCTACCTTTGTTTTATTTATTTATTTATTTATTTATTTACTTACTTACTTACTTACTTACTTACTTACTATCCTCGCCCAAGGATATTTTTCCATTGATTTTAGATGGGAGGGGGGTTTAGGAGACAGGGAGACAGAGACAGAGACATTGATGTGAGAGAAACACATTGATTGGTTGCCTCCCAAAAGACCCCGACCTGGGTGAGGGATTGAACCTGCAACTCTTCAGTCTGTGGGCCAATGCTCTAATGACTGAGCCAAACCAGCCAGGGTGTACTGGTGTCTCATTTAAACACAGACAACACATTTTCCCATCCTTTTCCTCTACTCAGCCTATTGGATATCAACCTGTGGACCTATATGCAGATATTTCATTGGCAGTAACACGTAAATGAAAAGTACTTTCTTGCCGGGTTTTTAATTTTATTTTATCCATATAGTTGGTTTTTTATTTTATTTCATTCACATAATTTTCTTGAATAAATGAGAAACTGCAGATAGGAAAATCTAAGGCTCAGAGAGGTACAAGGAGACATACCGGGTTATGTGCAGAACCTGATACAAAACTCAGGTAGTTTGATTCCTGACCTGGGCTCTTACCTGAATGGTGTTTTTCATTCACATTGCCAAACAACCAAAAAAACACCTCAGTTGTCTAATAAATGTTGTGGTGGAATTTTGTTCTCTAGTTGCTCTGGGTTCTTCTGTTGGCCACCATCGTGGGACTGCTGCTGCAGCGCCTTGCAGCCAGGCTGGGAGTGGTCACTGGGCTGCATCTTGCTGAAGTGTGTCACCGTCAGTATCCCAGGGTGAGCAGTGTACTGTTCTGTTTGTCTATCACCTGCCTCATAGGAATCTGTGTGCCTGTCAATATGTGCTGGCCCTACTACTGTATACTGAAACAATGGAGGACTTGGGGTCAAAGGCCCTGAGGACTAGGAGTCCCAAGGGAAATTCTCTAGCCATCTCTTGCTGCCAAGCCACGTTTCTATGCTCCTTCAAAATTTAACTTGAGATTCACTTTTTTTCCAGAGAGTTTCCTTAGAAAAATTCTGTTTGAGTAAACATTTACCATTCACTCTGCCTTCTGGCATCTAGTAGTGCCCAGCTCATGGAGACGTGGGGGCTGCTGTCTAAGCATTTTCATTTGTACGTTCATATTACTCTATCACTTTGCATTATATGTATTTTCTTTTTGTTTGACTTTGCTAATGATTAGAAAAAAGTAAGTTCCTTCCTTATAATACAAACTATTTGTGGCAGGATCTTTGGATTTGCTAATTATTATTTTTCAATTTACTCTGACCCTGGATGTTACACTGTCCTCTACAGCTTCCTTCTGGACACTTTGGGCCTTTCTTACTGCCACCTAAGGCAGAAATGGAGCCTATGTCTAGAAGACAGCTTTACCCTAGCTTCGTCTTTGGATAAGATACTGCTGCTAATCCATCTCTGGTTTGTCCTAAATGTGTAATCTTCTTTCCTGGCTATAAGAAAATATTTGTATCTTTTTCTTTTTATATGCTTCTTAAAAGAAAACTTTGGTAATTTATCATTTCTTTTAGCTTTTCTTTATGTATCTTAACAGTTGTTTTTTGTGACCAATTTTTGGGTAGTAGATACCTAGAAGTGTTTTCTCTTCTGGCCTCATTGAGCCAGCATTAACTAATTTTGTCTTTCACCTGCATTATTTAACAAGATTAGTTTCCTATTTTGTTATACACCACCCAGTTCCAACCCTTTGCCTTGAGTTCCTTTGCATCAGTCCTTTTTCACTTGCTTCTGTATTGTTATTATTACAGTAAGGATGACCCCAGCCTTTTCACATTTGTTTAGTCTCTTCAGCTATGGTCAGGATTGATATTTTCTTCTGCAGTCATTTTCTGTTCTCTCTTGAATAATATTTAGACCACAGTAGCATCTTTATTTCCCCCTCAGCCTTTTAGAATTGTTTTTCAGCAGGAAATTAAGTGAGAATTAATTAATGGATATTTCATTCCTCTCTTGAATGGAAGGCAAAGAGAAAACATTAGGATCAGCTGCTGCCCATACCTTGACTCATAAGCTCCCCCACACAGAAGCTCGCTTGCCTTCTCTAGCTAGGCTCCCGGTGCAATGATGGGTCAAGTGGAGCCATCTGATACTTTATCTCTAGGCTGAAGGCTTATAAAGGGTTGTTTATGAATCAGTTCCAAAGTGTGATTCCAGACTATGGTGGAAGTTCTTAGAAATTATTAATTAGAACCATGTCTTTCTTCTGTTTGGTGTTTAGGTCCCACGAATTGTCCTGTGGCTGATGGTGGAGTTGGCTATCATTGGGTCAGATATGCAAGAAGTTATTGGCTCAGCCATTGCCATCAATCTCCTGTCTGTAGGAAGGTGAGGGGGTTTCCCTCTAGAAAGTAATCAATATTTTGCTAAGATTTCAAAGCAAATGTAAAATCAAAAACCCAACTCATTTTCGCTTTTCAAGATTTAACTAAAGTTTATTGTATTTTCTGTGGAATCTTTCTAGGACCACCTTTCTCTTTCCTGGCAGATGTAGGCTCTGTATCTTCCATGTTCTTGTGTTCGATTATATATACCTCTGTTATGCAGTATGTGTCTTATTTGTATATTATTGTATATTATAGTTATTTGTATATCAAGTTATTCCATTAGACATTGAACTCCTTGAGGGATAAGACCCGTTCTTTCCTTTTTATTTTTTTTTCTTTATTGATTTTAGAGAGAGAGGAAAGGAGAGGGAGAGAGAGATAGAAACATCAGTGAGAGAAAACATCGATTGGCTGCCTCCTTCATGCCCCCCACCTGGGCATGTGCCCTGATCGGGAATTGAACTGGTGACCTCCCGGTGCATGGGTCGATACTCAAGCACTGAGCCACACCAACTGGGCCCATTCTTTTTTTTTCTAAAAAAAAAAATGTTTTTGTTGTTAATCCTCACCCAAGGCTATTTTTCCATTGCTTTTTAGAGAGCATGGAAGGGAGGGAAGGACGGAGTGCGCGCGCGTGTGCGAGAGAGAGAGAGAGAGAGAGATAGAGAGAGAGAGAGAGAAACATCGATGTGAGAGAGACACGTCAGTTGGTTTCCTCCTGCACAGCCCCAACGGGGGCCAGGGATTGAACCTGCAACCCAGGTATGTGCCCTTGACTGGAATTGAACCTGCAACCCTTCGGTCCGTAGGCCGACAACCTAACCACTGAACCAAACTGGCCAGGGCAAGACCCATTCTTTTCAGCTTTGTATCCTAAATGTCTGACATAGTAGATAATCAAGTTTGAGTGAATATTATTCTGTTGGTGCTGTGATCCTTAACCACCCAAGGCCTGGCCTCCTGCCACTGTCTCCTCTCCCCCAAGTCCTTACTTCTCCAATGTTGTATGTATGGAGAGCTTTTGGGAAGGAAGTGCTTCTCGATGTTTTCTTTCTTTCCTTTAATTCCACTTCTTATCTCTGGTTTAGGGTTCCCCTGTGGGGTGGAGTTCTCATCACCATTGCAGATACCTTTGTATTTCTCTTTTTGGACAAATATGGTAAGTAGAGTGGGAATGAGGCGTTTAGACAAAGACGCTACTTTTCCATCATGTGGCTGATGGGGAAGTCTGTCTCCTGTGAATTTACTGCTGCATTTATTTTCCCCTTTAGGCTTGCGGAAGCTGGAAGCATTTTTTGGCTTTCTCATCACTGTTATGGCCCTCACATTTGGATATGAGGCAAGTGTTCCAGGCTTTTCATTAGCTTTTTAAAACAAAAAAAATTTTTTTTTACCTTTATTATAAAAGACAATATAATGCTAGGAAGGTTTAATTGCATTGCATCTGCTAAGAAAAAGCTAATTGCTTCCTCTCAGTCTGAAAGCAGACTGAGGTGACCTCTGAAAATAGCTAGCTATTCACTTGACTCAGAAACCATGCAAAATCATGCAAATTAAGAGGTTTAAAAATTTGTGTTCACTTTAAGAACACTCATGAAACTGCCCAGGCCATCAAGGTATGCATATCAGAAAAGCTATTGAGTATCTGATTGCACTTTACAGAAGCAATATGTGTCATTCTGTCGTGACAATGGTGGAGTTGGTAGGTGTACCCAAGCCTAAGAGTTAGGCTGGACATAGGGTCGGTGGCCCATAAAGAGTGCTGAATTTTTGTTACACATGCTTGAAAAGGAAGAGAGTAATGCTGAACTTAAGGTTTTAGATGCGGATTCTCTGGTCATTGAGCACATCCAAGTTAACAAAGCCCCTAGTGTGCGGTGCAGAACCTACAGATTATGCCACACACGAGCTCTCCCTGCCACACTGATGATCCTCACTGAAAAACAGCAGATTGTTCCTAAACCAGAAGAGGAGTTTGCACAGAAGAAAAAAACATCCCAGAAGAAACTGGAAAAAAAAAAACGTATGGCCCAGGAGTAAATTCAGCATAAAATAAAAAATGTTAATAAAGTAAAAGCAGAAGGAAAAAAAGAAAGGAAAGAAAAAGCCAATTAAGCCTTGGGCCAATTTTGAAGGAATATTATCTATAGCAAAGACTAGTATCCAGGAAGGTGTGCAGGGACTCCTATGTCAAAATGACTGGCCTTGCCCTGGGCGGTTTGGCTCAGCAGTTAGAGCGTCGGCCTGTGGTCCAGAGAGACCCGGGTTCGGTTCCGGCTAAGGGCACGTACCTCGGTTGTAGTTTGTCCCCGGCCCTGGTTGGGTCGTGCGGGTGGCAACCACTCAATGTGTCCCTTTCTCATCGATTTTTCTCTCTCTTTCTCTCTCTCCTTCCCACTCTGTCTGAACAAAAAATGGAAAAATGTCCTCAGGTGAGGATAAAAAATTAAAAAATGACTGGCCTTTCTAGAGCTTTCCAAACTAGATTCCCTGATTCCAAATTAGCATCTCGACAACAACAGCTTTGGAGAGGATTAGAGAGGGTATTATAAGGTGATTCTTGGCTGTTAACTTAGCGGGGTCTGTTTTTGCTTATTCTGGTTTACACCAATTGCAGCTTGAACTTTCTCTGTATTGCAGCTGTAGGGTAGATAGTAGATGTTTCCTGGTTTGTGCCCTAACCCAGACACTCCTAGGAATCAGTACCATTATATGCAGTAATAGCACCTTTCTGTGTCCAGTTTAACCAATTTATGTTTATTGGCCTGGCTAGACTTTTAAAAATATATCTAATCTATGAGTACATTATATAGCTTGGTCTAAGACTTTCAAGAGAAATGCTGAAACAGGAAAAAGTATAAATGAAAAATGTTTACAAATGAGTCAGCTTATGCTAGTGGCAAACACAGTGATTTTTAGATAAATATAGGTGTGCCTGGCTGGTTTGGCTCAGTGGTTGAGCGTCGACCCATGCACCAAGAGGTCACCGGTTCGATTCCTGGTCAGGGCACATGCACAGGTTGTGGACCCAGTCCCCAGTGGGGTCATGCAGGAGGCGGCTAGTTGATGTTCTCTCTCATCAATGTTTCTATCTCTTTCTCCCTCTCCCTTCCTCTCTCAAAAATCAATAAAGAGCCCTGGCCAAGCGGTTAGAGTGTCGGCCTGCGGTCCAGAGAGACCCGGATTCGGTTTCCGCCAAGAACGTGTATCTCGGTTGCAGTTTGTTCCCAGCCCTGGATGGGTCGTGCAGGTGGCAACCACTCGATGTGTCCCTTTCACGTCGATGTTTCTCTCTCTCTCTCTCCCTCCCACTCTATCTGAACAAAAAATGGAAAAATGTCCTCGGGTGAGGATTAAAAAAAAAGAAATCAATAAAGAAATTTAAAATAATAATAGAAAGATAAATATAGGTGAACAGAAGCATAAGTGTGTGGATAATTAAGAACTGACTGTATTTTTGGGTCTGTCTCATAGGAGTTATTGTGAAATTAATATCAATAAGTCCCTTAGCAGCCATTTCATTTCTTTAGAATATTAACTATATTCTGTACACATCTAAAATATGATGTAAAATATTCAGGTAATCCAGTGTTGAATTCCCTGATCTCTGGCTGCAAGCCCCTTATGCTGCTGGGTTTTCAATGGTTCGGTACTCCTCATTATCCTAGGTAGTTGAAGAAGAAGGGGTTGTCAGGAAAGGAAAAAAGGATGCTGAGTGTTTCTTTTTTTTTAAATCCTCACCCAAGGATATTTTTCCATTTATCCTTAGAGTATGAGGGAGGGAGAGAAGGAGAGAGAAAGAGAAACATCGATTTGAAAGAGACACATTGACTGGTTGCCTCCCATGCAACCCCGATCAGGGCTGGGGACGAACCACAACTGAGGTACATGCCCTTGACCGGAATCGAACCCAGTTCTCATTGGTCTGCGGGTTGATGTTCTAACCGCTGAGCCAAACTGGCCAGGGCCTGAGTGTTTTTAGTACTGTTATTCCCTTGGTCTCATATTTCAGTAAAGGCTAATAGTTGTTATGTTGGTATGTAGTATGTTACAGTGAGACCCAACCAGAGCGAGGTACTCAAGGGCATGTTCCTGCCATCCTGTTCAGGCTGTGGCACCCCGCAGCTCCAGCAGGCTGTGGGCATCGTGGGAGCTGTCATCATGCCACACAACATGTACCTGCATTCTGCCTTAGTCAAGGTGAGCAAAGCCTTTATCTCAGTGGCCTCCTGGGTAGGTCATGGGATGTTTCCCTTTAGTTGCAAGGAACACTTAGTTTACAACTGTTAGAGCCCTAAAGGAGCAAGGTATTTTTCCATGGTTAGACATTTATAAACTCTACACACATGGACTCTGTTTTATGACCAGAGATAACTAACCCCAGAGAGAAACTAGAACTAAAGTTCTTCATAAAAGGTCTGAAAGTATACCAAGTCTCTTGTGTTTTAATCTCAGAACCCTGAGTGGCCTTCAGGAAGTCAGGAGTAAAGAGCCCAGGCAACCTTTACCAGTCAGTCTTACACAATAGTTTGCTGGGAGCTTTCAGAGACCTGTGTAATTAATGTTGTACACTCCTTAGGACAGGTCGTTTTTTGGTTCTTCCAGCCACAATAACTGAGAGCTCAATAGTCACTTATTTGAAAAATGTGCCGTGTCATCTAAGGGTCATGAAGTTCTTACTTAATGAACGAGGATGTAAGCAAGTTCTCTCACATTTCATCTGGTCAGTTGTTTGCCCTCTAAATCTTTCAGTTGTCTCTAAAGTCATGAAATATTACAAGGAAACTTGTTTCAAAAAGTAAAAAAAAAAAAATGACTACTGCTATTGTCTCTCCAGTCCAGACAGGTAAACCGAGCCAAAAAGCAGGAAGTTCAAGAAGCCAATAAGTACTTTTTCATTGAATCCTGCATTGCTCTGTTTGTTTCCTTCATCATCAATGTTTTTGTCGTCTCAGTCTTTGCCGAAGCATTTTTTGATAAAACCAACCAGCAGGTGGTGAGTAAGCCAGGGTCATGAGTGGTAGTAAATGTGAGGGTAATGGGAAGGCCAGAATGGGGTAGGAAAGGATGACAATGTCTTGGAGCTCAGGAAATTGACCTGCATCCTCAGTGCTGTTCCCTAAGTCACTGCACTAGTCGGTCTATGGTCTGGGGCTGACAAAATCTAGACCTTTTCCCTGCTTTTGGCTGATAAGGGAGATTGACTCAGACTAAAGATTGCCTCATGCTATTTTGTTAGTAGCTTCACACTATTCGGCCCTTTGTTTCCTGTTTATCAGCTGCCAGCCTGCTTGCCAGTCCTGCCATTTGGTGAGGAGGACAGTTTGGGAGGAATCAACAGATAAAACAGAAACTGTTGCTAGAACAGATTGTTTTGTCATTTTGAATTCTCTGTCTTCTCAGTTCCTGATTGCCTGTCTAGTTTTGATCACCAGTTTGCTTCCCATCTCTAGGACCTCACACTCCTGGCTCTGCTTTGACTAAGACTCCCTGTTCTGGATGTCCTCTCATATTTGAAGCTTTCTTAAGGGCCCTCTTTTCCTGTAATCATTTAAAATGACCCAACAGTGCACATCCTGACTCAGTAAATATTTTTGATGACATGGGGTGCAGGAATATTGGGGAGGTGATACTTGCCACCCATCTCTGCCCCATCCCAGCCTGTCTCCAGTGTCTCACCTCCAGGCTGTGTCACATAGGTGACTTGTGTGTGATCTGTAGGAGACCTCTTATCTGGTCCTTGTCTTGAAAATAAAAGTTGCTCCTATACTGCTCTCTTTTCCAGATTGAAGTCTGTAGAAATAGCAGCAGTCCTCATACTGGCCTTTTTCCTGATGATAACTCAACACTGGCTGTGGACATCTACAAAGGGGTAAATCTATTCAGATTTGTGTTCTTTGCTCCTGAACCAGTATTCTTGGTACAGTATCTGGTCTTTTCTGTGGGTTCACTTCAGAGCTGAGCATATCTTCCTTTGGAATGTCATTTATTTCACAGGTCCAGATGCTAGACAACCATTTTGGACTACATAGAAGTAATAAGGGATCTGCTAAAAAAATGAATTGTTTCAGCAGTTCCCACATGTGTGTTGATAGTATAGTGTTCTACAGGATGTTAAGTGGGGTGGTTGAAGAAAGTGTACCTAGCCCTGGCCAGTTTGGCTGAGCGGTTAGAGCCTCGGCCCTTGAAGCAAAGAGTTGAGGGTTTGATTCCGGTCAAGGACTTGTACCTCAGTTGTGGTTTGGTCCCTGGCCCTGGTTGGAGTCATGCAGGAGGCAACCAATCGATGTGTCTCTTTCACATTGATGTTTCTCTCTCTCTCTCAGTCCTTCTCTTCCTCTCCCTTCCTCCTTCCCACTCTATGTGAAGATAAGTGGAAAAATATCTTCAGGTGAAGATTAAAAAAAAAAGAAAGAAAGTATACCTGGTGATGTGGGCTTCAATGGGGCCTCAGTCCCTTTTATGCTGGTTACATTGTGAACCTCCAAGAGGAGAATATGTGTGTATGTAACATTTCCCAAATTTATTTGACCTTTCTTTTCACTCCTGTTATCTTCTAAAATAGTGTGTTAAGCAGTATAATTTGAGAAATGTGGTATAGAGTGTCTAGTTTTGATCACCAGTTTGCTTCCTCACACTCCTGGCTCAGCTGTGACTAAGGACTCCCTGTTCTGGGTGTCCTCTCATATTTAAGATATAGGTTGAGGATGAAGCTTGGAGAAGAGAAAGGACTAGGCTGAGGAATGAAGGACCTTCCCGCAAAAATTTAGGGTGGAAGCTTTTAGAATGAGGTTAGGACCTGAGTCAAGCTTCTGCAACAGTGCCCTGCACAGCCCCTGGTTTAGGTGGGTATGTAGCAAAGAAGAGAGAGAATGCTCTTTTGAGTGTTGTCTAAGCAGTTCACTGAAACACATCTGTTTCTCCCTTGCCTCTCCCAGGGTGTTGTTCTGGGATGTTACTTCGGGCCTGCTGCACTCTATATCTGGGCAGTGGGGATCCTGGCCGCAGGACAGAGCTCCACCATGACAGGAACCTATTCTGGCCAGTTTGTCATGGAGGTATGTGCTGTTTTGACTGGTATAGACTAGAGGAAGAGGAAATTGCCCTTTTGTTACTTATTAATCTCATGCCTCTAAGGTCTTCTGATCCTCTCCACATCTTTTTAGTTTCCTGTTCCAGACACTCATCCTGCTTCTGTGTTTTCTTTCAGGGATTCCTGAACCTAAGATGGTCACGCTTTGCTCGAGTGATTCTGACCCGCTCTATTGCCATTATCCCCACTCTACTTGTTGCTGTCTTCCAAGATGTGCAACATCTAACGGGGATGAATGACTTCCTCAATGTTCTGCAGAGCTTGCAGGTGAGGAGGAAGCTGGGAAAACTCTCATCCCATTTAGTCAGGCAGCATTATATATTCCCCTTAGGGACCAAAGCCTAATGCCAAGTGCTGAGGAAAATTTAGAGGAAGAAAGAGGCATGATCTTGGTCTGCAGTAAATGTGTATGAAATCCCTGGCATCCACAAGGCTTCTAGAAATGACTTGGTTTTTTTTAAGCCTATTGAATGAGAATTATAAACTACAATACATATAGAATACAAAATTATTGTTCATTAAGCCAGGCGAGTATTAAATGACACATAGGACACTGCTAGGTCCTAAGCAGGTTAAGACAAGGCAGACACAAATATTTATAAAGACACGTGATCATACTTGATGCTAGGTTAATGACAGCTGTATAGATTTCAACATAATGCTTCAGCATTTGGGGTGATAGGAATCATTTCTCATGGAGTAGATAAGGCAAGGCCTATGTTTTCCTTTCACTAACAGTGCTGCTCTCTGGAGTGATAACGAGGACCCCAGTAGCCCCATCTGATCTTATTTTTTTCTTTTCCAGCTTCCCTTTGCTCTCATACCCATCCTCACGTTTACCAGCTTGCGACCAGTAATGAATGACTTTGCCAATGGAATGTGAGTGTACTCCTCTCGGTTCCCCAAAGCTATGTGGGATAAGGGCATCTTCATTAAGTAGGCCAATCAAAAAATGAGTCATACAGGGGGTGGAGAGGTGGTTGCTAGCGCTGCCCCTTCAGTCTTTGGCTTAGAAAATGGAGACAGAATATAGTAAAGGAAGGCAAGCCCTTTTTTATTTTCTAAGGGAGAATGTTCAGCTTTTAGGGCTTTAACTCTAGCTTCAGCCACTGAAATGTAAAGCATCTTTTCTTATTTAAAAATATTTTTAATTGATTTTTTAGAGAGAGAGGAAGGGAAAGGGAGAGAGAAACATCGATAGGCTACCTCCTGTGTGCCCCCTATTAGGGATCAAGCCCACAACCCTGAGCATGTGCCCTGACTGGGAATCGAACTGGCCACCTTTCAGTGCATAGGATGATGCCCAACCAACAGCCATACCAGCTAGGGCTGAAGAGTAAACCCTGTTAATTCCATGTTGATGACCTGAATGAGAAAGGCATGAGTTAATACCTTTTACATACATCTTTAAAGGATATGAGGGTAGCCCTGGCCGGTTTTGTTCAGTGGTTAGAGCATCGGCCCATGGATCAAGAGAGTCCTGCTAAGGGCACGTACCTCAGTTGCGGTTTGTCCCCAGTCCCAGTTGGGGTCATGTGGGTGGCGACCACTTGATGTGTCTCTCTCACTTTGATGTTTCTCTCTCTCTTCCTCCCTCTCTCCCTTCCGCTCTGTCTGAAGATAAATGCAAAAATGTCCTCGGGTGAGGATTAAAAAAAAAAAAGGATATGAGGGTAGTTGAAGTGACTAGTTGCATCTCTAGGGACTCTCATGATTTGTTACATTTTTAGGGGCTTGAATAACAGGGGTTATTTTATAGTATTTTTTCTCCTCTTTGTCTATTTGTGTCTAACTTTGGCTAATTTAACGAAATCAGGCATTTTAAGAACCATTTTTCAGTTATTCTTTTCTTATTTTGAGAGTACATGTATTAAAGCTGGGGACAGTGAAACATGGAAGAGTTCAGGAGAGAAGAAGCAACAGGAGAGAGCCTGGGCAGGGCAGCTTTGGCTCACTGAGAAGTCAGAGAAAAGGGGGCCTTGGAGACAGGTTCAGAGGGTTAGTTCGGGAGGAGCTGCTGCTGCCCATTCCTCCCCTGGTTGCAAGTCTTGCGAGGTTCCTTAGAATTTAGGAGATGCATGCCTGTGGAGGAAGCAGAGGAAGAAGGGAAAGGCGTGGGCATGCTTCCTCAGGGGAAGAGGAACACACCTATTTTGAGATGGTTCTTACTTCTGTCCTGTCTGCCCTATAAGATGCAGTGTACTTTTCTGTTTGTGGACAGGTTATTCCACCAGTGACTGTGCTGATTCTTTTACAGTGGCTGGAAGATTGCAGGCGGGATCTTGGTCCTTATCATCTGTGCCATCAACATGTACTTTGTCGTGATTTATGTCCAGGATTTAGGACATATGTTTTTGTATGTGGTGGCTGCTGTGGTCAGTGTGGCTTATCTGAGCTTTGTGTTTTACTTGGTAAGTCCAGTCAGGAGGGGGAGGGGCATAGGTATCAGGGGTGGCAGAGGTGGGGCTAATATCCAGAAAGGACCCAAAAGAGCAAATAGCAATCTATCTACAGGGTATTGAGATAATTTACATGAAATTGATAAATCAGCTATGGTTAAAAATATATATATATATATATATATATATATATATATATAGTACACACACACACACACACACACGCATACACTTTTTGGTTAAACAGTATTTTTAACCATAAAATTTGGTTCCTTAAGAGCTATCATCTTTCTGTTTCTGTCACTTCTGTCTAGTTTCCATTCTTAATAATTCCTAACAAAAGAGTGTGGAACTAAAAGAAAAGGAGCAGTATAGAAAGCAGTGTGTGGAACAGGGTTGGGTTGGAGAAGGGGGCTCTGCAGTGTGATCTCACAGCTTTGAGGTGGATCACATGTGGGTTCACACCCCTTCTCAGCTCTGCCACTTAATAGCTGTCCAGGAAGGAAGTAAATTCAAAGTGATATTCTCACATTGAATTATTTTAGAATTATTAAAAATGATGGTTATGCAATAGACAATAGTGTGGGGAAGGCAGGAGTGGGGATGGGAGTGGGGAGCAGAGAGGGATCAATGGGGAAAAAGAGGGGACATCTGTAATACTTTCAGCAATAAAGATTTAAAAAATAAAATAGAAATTTTTAAACAAGAAAGAAAATTAACAATTGGACTCAGAGGGAAGGGGAGAGGGGAGCAGGAAGAGATTAACCAAAGAACGTATATGCATGTATTGCTTAACCAATGGACACAGACAATAGTGAGGTGAAAGAGCAGGGTGGAGGGGATCAGTGGGGGAAATAGGGGGAACATTTAATACTCTTAACAATAAAGATAATTAAAAAAAAAAAAGATGGTTATAGCCCTGGATGGTTTGGCTCAACAGTTAGAGCGTCGGCCCATGGACCAAAGGGTTGTGGGTTCGATTCTAATCAAGAGCATGTGCCTGGGTTGCAGGTTTAATCTCTGGCCCTGGTCAAGATTGTAAGGGAGGCAGCGAATAGATGTGTCTTCTCACATTGATGTTTCTCTCTCTCTCGTTCTCTCTCTACCCTGCCTCTCTACTGTAGAGATCAATGGAAAAATATCCTTCGGTGAGGATTAACAACAGAAAAAGAAATGATGGTTATAAAACCATATAGAAAAGGAATGTGGAATTATGTATACCCAGATATTAAAATTTTTTTCAAAATTCTAGAGTCTACATAAAAATGGTAATAGTACTTTTAAGATGAGAGGATTATGGATATACTTTTCTTTATTTTTCAAATCTTCTATAACATAACTTATATTAATGCAAAATGGCTATAACAACAACAACAAATCCACCTCCCTGTTCTCTACAGGTTTCTCTGAAACACACAAGGGTTGAGGATTAGGGATAGCAGAATTTGTACCATATCTGCTGAAGAGAATGGTTAAGGATGGAGGCTGGAAACCCACTGCTGATCTTGATAACAGTTAACGTAGTCCCCAGGCCAATGTCTGCCACAGGTTAGGTACTTGATTGAGAGAATCACTTTAGTGAATATTGAAAAACTATTTATGTCCTGGATTGATACATCCCTCAGTAAACCTTGGGCACTTTGCTGTGACCCTATAATCCAGGGACTTACTCCAAGGAAACCCAAGTAACTGAATATGTCCTTGACAGGAATTGTTTTTAAAATTTGCTATAGAAGCTAAGAGAATCCTTTCTTCATGCAAAGTGGTTATGAAGGTGCTGAGTTGTCCTCGGGCAGCCTGAGACTTTTGAAATTGTTGAAGACTATTTTTAAGGCTGAGGGCTGATTCTAGAGTGGGTTACTGCTGTTTAGCTCCAAAACATATATTTCATAGAGCAGTTTAGGAGACTCTTCAGTTGTATTATTCTGTCATTCTCCTCATCATAAAGAAGGGGTAGGACTGAATAAAAGTGGTCTTCAGGAAACTCCAAACCCAATAAAAGAAACAAACTACAAACACAAGTAGGAGCAAAGGGAACTTAATATTGTAACTAGTATGGAAAAATTTTGCTGAAGAATGCAGATTCCAGGATGTTTTGAAGGGATTGTGGGGCTGGGAGAATGACTTTGTGATAGAAGATAGGTAAAGCTGGGTATTCAAGGAAGAGAGCAGGTGTGCGCCTGCCTGAGCAGTACAGGGGGAGCAGTGGATAGGAAGGCTTTTCATAGAGGTTGGTGAATGATGGCTATATTTTGTCTTTCAGATTTGGCTATGTTTGATTGCATTGGGCATGTCCTTCCTGGATTGTGGGCGCACGGTAAGCACCTCTAAAGTCCTGACTGAAGAAGCCACCGGTGACTATACTAAGTAGACATTGGATCAGTCTGTCTGGTCCAGGTAGCCATCAGAGCCAGTGTGTTTCTATGGTTTACTGTGTGAACATAGCCAAAAGTATGTGCTGTTGCACAGACTGCATTTAGGACTCAACTGTTCGTTGTGAAAGACTTTATTTCACATGTGTTTGAAAGATGGAATTTTTTTCTTCTTGACCTCCTAACCTGGGAACTGGATTAGATAGGATCTTTGAAAAGCTGACGATTTGCTGCTATCACTCTAACACTAAACTCTTAAGGAGCTGCTGAAGGGCCAGCTTATTTTATCCTTTTGAGAGATTAATCTCTATGCATGATTCTTAATTAGGCTATATGTTTTAAAAAGTTGGAAAATGCAGTAAATTTTATAACAAAGGTACACAGTGGGTATGCAGATTTATTTATTAAAAGATAATGGATTTTGTCCTGGCCAGTTTGGCTCAGCGGTTAGAGCTTTGGCCCACGAACCAAAGAGTCGCAGGTTTGATTACAGTCAAGGGCACCTACCTTGGTTGCTGCTTGGTCCCTGGCTGTGGTGGGGTCATACGGGAGGCAATCAATTGATGTGTCTCGCTCTCCCTCCTACTCTATCTGAAGGTAAATGGAAAAATATCCTCGGGTGAGGATTAAAAAAATATGATAATAATAATGAATTTTAAAAGACTGAGAAATACTTATGCATACCCTTTCAATTATTTTAATTATAAAAAATAAAACCTCAACTAGAGTGGTTTTATCCATATTAAATATAAAACTATGAGACATCTACCTCTATTAGATTTAGAATTCTTTCAATTAAGAATTTCAGTTTTCTACTTTAAATTTCTCAGTGGAAGTTAAGAAGGGTGAGAAAACATAAAGGTGATAAATGGACAAGTAGCGAAACTAACCTGTAGAGGGTGGTTACTAATCACTTCGAGAGTCACATAGAAGATTTTCCTCAGAGATTGAACGCTAACCAGGATTTTCTTGGGAGTACTGTTTTTAATAACTTTTATGTTAATATACAGAGCTTTCCTGATACTTACTCTTGAGCATGTAGAGTTGTAAAACCTTCACCTTCCTCCACCAGGAGGGTGGTGATAGAAAAAGATGGTAGCGTTTATAAACTGATGTTCTCGTGAGACTTTGGGGTGAGGAGAAAAGACTTGAAAGGAGAAGAAGAGCCATCTGTTATATTCCTAAAAGCCACCTCCTACCAGCATCATCATGTTCTCCTGAAGTGTGCCCAGGATGGCTTGCAAGGCAGACTCAGGAGCTGTGGACCTAACCGATGCAATGCTGTCGCTCAGCAAGTCAGTAGTTATCACTGACGGCAAAGTTCTCTCCCAGCAAGGTTGCACTGGGCTACCTCTCTTCAGCCGTTCCCTCAGAGGGAAACACTTTGAGACCAGGTGCTGGAGCTCTGGAGTCAGAGGAAATGGGTCCCTTCAGCATGAAGCTGCTGCTCTTCAGCCACTTCCAACATTTTTACACGTGGAGCCCGAGACTGTGATTATCTCAGATGAAATCACATTGGTGTGATGGAGATAAGGAATCAAGTCTTTTATAGCTGTTGACTTGGCGAGGACAGTAATGGGAATGGCACTGAATGACTTCTCATTTGGGGGGCTTTCCTTCTGGAGTCCTGATGGATTGATGTTCTCTGTTCATTTGAGCACCCGAAGTTATTATTGCTGACATTTGCACACAGTCAAAAGTGCAGACTGGATAGATTGTCTTTTATAAGTAATTAAGGGTAAACTGTTTCACTGACCATACCTTCATCTCAGCCACTCAAATAATATAGCACAGGATCATGAAAGACACATTTCCCTAACCATTCCTCCTCATTCTGCCCCTTTTCCCTGTGAAGGTGTCAGAGAGGGACATCTGAAGCTGCAGTAGGTCTGGCTACAGTAGGTGAGGGCCAAATTGACCAAACAATTCTTTGTAAAGATGGTACAGACACATTTACCTTTGCCGCGAGGCTGGGTGGGCCCAGTCAATCTCTCAGATTCACAAATATTCAGAAGTCCAGGTAAAAACTACCACTTTTCTTTTAAAAGTTGTATTTATGACTTGTACTAATGGAAAATTTCTTGCCAATTAAATGGCATTTTATAGTACATGTATGTAGTATTTCAGTGTTAAAAAACTCCCATCCTGTGTTCTGTTCTACCCTCTCAGATAGTGAGTGTACTTCACCTAGTACTCTGGGCACAGTGAACAACGCTGAGACCTTTCAGGTTTCCCAGGGCCAGCACGTGCAGTGTGCCTTGGCAGTGTCTGTGTGGAATGTTTAAGGATATACGTTGTACTTGATGTAAATCAGTCCGTGCTCTCCAAAACTGTGACATGAAGTAATCGTGCTGCTCCAGCCTGCAAGGAGCAATGGGTGGGGAAGAGCTGCAGTTTGGCTCCTGTGAGGTTGTGCTAGTGGTTTTAGGAGTGGTTACAGCTGAGCTTTTAGTGACCACTTAATAATATGTAAACTTGGTTTATAATTAAAAATATTTTTCTTTTTCCAATTTGGTTTCCTGGGTATTTTTTTAACCTTGAAAATACTTTGTTAATGAGGGTCTCAACAACTTTGAAATACTGAAACATCAGCTACCTCCTGGAATGACGTACTAAGCCCACACTGTTCGTATTTCCTCTTTAGAAGGGATAGAGAAATAAATAAGTTTAATCCTTAAGACTTGATGAGTTGCAGACACCAAACACTAATTTATGTTTACCCACTTAGTCAAATAATTTTGCTTTTGCTAAAGGTCACATCATTACCATATTTAAACTTAAAAAAAATTTTTATTTGGCCTTTCTTTGGTCTAAACTGAACATGTTTCTACCTATAGTCTTGTTTCACCATTGAAATATTCTGTATATACTGCCAATAAAAAGTAGGAGTATTTGAAAAGAGAAATCAAAATTGTCAGCTTAAAAAAATGAGCATATTGGCAGGCCCAATATAAATGGGAATATTAGCACCATTTAGTAAAGACAAAGACAGGTTCAGGCACAGTGAACTGCTAGCCCTGTCACCAGATGCATGGGGAAAATCTGAGTCAGCACGTGATTTGTCCCAGAGTGTCACTAGAACTTTATTTTTCCTTTTTCTGTTGCGTGCGTTCCCTGTCCTACAGGGGCTAGATACTTGGGTAACACCGTAGAAAGAATCTGGGAATTTTGTGCTGTCTGTTGTCCTACCTCATTTAGCTCTCTCTTCTTAATTTGGGTTTAATTTCAGAACTAAAATAGGATGCATAACATTTTGAAGATCCTGAGTTGAGATATTTCCCTTAGCTCTGCGCTCTGGAACTTTGCTCCTTCATTGAATAGGACCAGTGAATCAATGTGTCAGCTTCTCTTGACACCTTAGCTTCTGAATAATCTCAGTTAATTCTTATAACAAGAAGATCAACTTCTATATAGATGAGGTAACTGAAAGGCCAAAAAATAAAATACCTTCCCCAAATTACATCGCTAATGGGCGATTGGCATTTGAACTTGAATAGCTTAACTACAGGACCAACATTATCTTTACCAAACAATCCTACATAATATACAGTACATCCTTCATGTGAGTTTAAGACACCAAGCTTTGGCCCTGGCCGGTTTGGCTCAGCAGTTAGAGCATTGGCCTGCGGTCCAGAGAGACCCAGGTTCGGTTCCTGCTAAGGGCATGTACTTCAGTTGCAGTTTGTCCCCAGCCCTGGTTGGGTCATGCGGGTGGCAGCCACTTGATGTGTCCCTTTCATATCAATGTTTCTCTATCTTCCCCTCTCTTCCTCTCTCTCCCTCCCGCCCTGAATAAAAAATGGAAAAATGTCCTCGGGTGAGGATAAAAACAAAACAAAAACACCATGCTTTGGTTCTTAGAATATGTTTTAGCTCTGAAGTTGCCAAGTGGTAGACTAATTTTGTTTGCCCCGTGCTAAATTAAAAAAAAAAAAAAAAGTAACAATGCTTTTTGGCAGGCATAGAAAATGGGCAGGCCCTCTATGACCCTACACCAACAGTAGCTAAGAACTAATAGTTTACTCATTTGCATTACCTCTCTGCTGCTTAAAGTACTTTGGCCTATTCTGTGCCCTTTAGCCCCATTTCTCAATGTCCCAGAGAAATGTGACAAACCTCCAGTGAAGGAGTTCTATTAACTCACCTAAGTGACATCATCTGGGGATCACAGAACTAATAATGCAATTCTTATCCGGCTTGTGTGGCTCAGTGGTTGAGCATTGACCCATACACCAGTTGGATTTCTGGTCAGGACTCATGCCCAGGTTGTAGGCCCAATCCCCAGTGAGGGGTGGGCAGTAGGTGGCCAATTGATATTCTCTCTCATCAGTGTTTCTATCTCTCCCTCTCACTTCCCCTCTCTCTAAAATCAATAGAGGGAATAATAATAAACCCTTGCTTACTACATAATGAGGAAGCCCACCACCTTAGCTCATTTGAGAAAAGGCTGCAGTGAATTGTCAGTATGTCTGGAAAACCCGAGTTGTAAAACCCTAAAGTGAGTAAGCAAGCTAAAGTCTGAAGAGCTGTTTTTCTGTTCCAAGGCCAGTGTGACTCAGTATTCCCTATCCCATTAGTTGAGACTAATTTTATCTTGGGCTCCATTTGGACTCATCTTTAGGCAGTCATCACTAGCCTGTGAGGTATACAGGGCTATGTGTAATGTGTTAAAAGAACTTAAGTTTATGGAACACTAACATGAGATAGCATATTGATGTACTTGGAATTTGCAAAGGTAGCATTTATTTCCATTTTACAAATAAGTAGAATAAGGCTCCAAAAGCTCATAGGAAGTGGCAGAGTTGGAGCTTGAACCCAACTCCAGTGCCTTTTCCACTATACTATAATAGGACTATTTTCTTCCTAGGGATTTATAGTCTGCATTGTTCATTCATTCACAAGCTGCTGGTGACAAGGAGCAATAACATTTCCAAAGCCCTGAGTAATAACAGTAGGGCTAAAATGTGACTCAGGGATTATCCCACAGTGTATGCAGAGGAGAGAAAAAGAGTTAATGCAGATTTACAAACCTCAACACTCTAGGAGTAGAGTCTGCCATGTGTTTTGAAAGCAGCTGAAGTGATACTGATACAGAATGACAAACATTTGGGACTCAGGTCATCCCCCTCTCTTAAGCACATGCCGTTTTGTGTTTGTTTTTGTTGTTGTTTTAATGAAAGACTTGCTTAGGTGCCAAAGGGTACTGGGGCTCAGGATTTAGATCATTTGAAATGTGATTTCTAAACACATAGTACTAAAATACAAAAGTAGTCAGTACATTTGCCCTTGATATCCTGATCAGAAGCACCCCTCCTGAGGCAAAGTGTGTTACAAGAATAGTATAAATGCAAGTTGTGCAAAGGGCATTTGGCACTATTTCAATCCTTAACTATTTCAGCTCCTAGCTATTTTTTTATATACCATAAATTATGTACTGGTAAGCCATTTCTTTTCTGAAATAAAAATATAGCAGTACTGAAAAAAGGCCTATATTGATATGCTATTTATAGATACTTAAGTGACAATTTTAATATTTAAATACTTATAATTCAGTCTAACCCTTTTCCCTCTTTTTGTCCTTAGTACCATCTGGGATTGACAGCTCAGCCTGAACTCTACCTTCTGAACAACGTGGATGCCGACTCACTTGGGTCTAGATGACTGATGGCCTGCGAGACTGTATAAGAACCATTTTCTCTTAGTCCATTTGTGCCAAGTGTCCCATTTACATATCTCTGTTAGTTCAGAGGTGAGTTTTGTTCAAATGTGTTGAACAAAAGGCAAAAATTTCCTCATGGGAAGACTTAAAAAAAAAAAAGCTGACAGCTGTTAAGTGTAGGTCAGAGACCCACCCACCTCACAACAGCCCTACAACAGCCGGAGTTAACTGATTGGCCTGGGATGGCCACACACCCCTATGGGCTTGTGTCTTAACTCCTGGAATTAAAAAATAATAATCTGTAGGTATTTATGTAGACCTGAACATATCAGTTTGGGTAGAGCTTTAAGATTATAAAAATTGATAGATCTTTTGTATTTTTAAAAAACATATTGTTCAGACAAACCAGGTATTTGTTTTGTCTGGATCACAAGTAAGAAAGAAAAGGGAGTAATGCTCTTTTTCAGAATGAACTGGTCAAATTGACTTACCTTTTGAAGTGGTGCTTACTATGGCCAGTTAAATTTCACTTCACTTTTAATCAACCCAGGCCCTTAGTAACTACTGATACTGGCACATCATTTCTAAAGAAAACATTTCTTACATTTGGCAATCATACTTAATCCTACTTATCAGTATGCTTTATAATTGTAATTCTCTTGTTGCTTTTCTTGAATTTTTTTTTTCAGAGATATGGTATTTTCCTAAGCGTTTAATACCTAGTAACAAGATCCAGAAACCATACTTTAAAAAAAAATGAGAGAGAGGAAAACATTGAGGTGAGAGAGAGACATTGATCAGTTGCCTCTGCATGTGCTCTGACTGGGGATTGAACCTACAACCTCTTGGTGTATGGGATGATGCTCCAACTCACTGAGCCACACTGGCCATAGCCTGAAACTGTACTTTAACCAATGGTCAGTTTTCTGTACTGCATTGTGTAATGCAGCCCATTCTAGCATTCAATATTTAGGTATAAAAAGAAGAACCATGTAATATTTAACTGTGTAAATCCCAACAGAAGATAATGGAGGTCTTAGTTTTCTTTCTAATAATTGTATAGTCCTACCATTTCTCTTCTCTCTTTTCTCATTAACAGTCCCACATCATTTCTAGGTCCAAAGCTTATTTCCAGGAGTGGCTTAGATTTCTAATGTTGAATCTCCTAGGGAGTGCTAAGCATTTTATTTCAAGATATTTATACCAAGTAGTAATATGATATTGGAACTAGACTGGCACTTGGAAGATTAGTCCACATGTCACGAACTGCCAGCCTACATGTGGGTTATAGATTTTTGTTTTTTTCCTCTCTTCCTAACCAGGATTGTTTGCCCTTAAAATTTTTATAATAAAAATTTAATATTTAAAAATGCAAAGTTCCGGCATGGTTATCTGCATGTTATTAGATTTTCAACACTGAGCTCATGTTCCTGCATGGAAGTGCAGTTGGCTGGAACTGAATAGCAACTTTGCGTTTTTTAAAATATGTTTTTTATGGATTTCAGAGGCAGGGGGAGAGAGGGAGAGAGAGAAACATCAATGAGAAACATCAGCTGCCTCCTGCACGCCCCCTACTGAGGATCGAGCCTGAAACCTGGGCATGTGCCCTGACCTGGGATCCAACTGGCAACCTTTAGGTGCACAGGACAACACTCAGCCACTGAGCCAAACCAGCTGGGTGCAGCTATCCATTTTTTTTTTTTTATCTTCACTTGAGGATCTTTTTCCATTTATTCTCAGACAGAGAATAACACAGAAGTGAGAGAGACACATTGACTGGTCGCCTCCCGCGCAACCTTGACCAGGGCTGGGGATGAACCGCAACCAAGGTACGTGCCCTTGGCTGGAATCGAATACAAGTCTCATTGGTCCGCAGGCTGACGTCTAACTGCTGAGCCAAACTGGCCAGGGCACAGCTATCCATTTTTAATGGAATATATTTCAGGGTGGGTACACCCCTTCACTCATTTCCTTCCAGCCCCAAAGCATTGAGTTTGTAAACCCTGAAGTCTTTGTGTGACTTACAGCATCATTTTCTTTTTTTTAGCATAAAAGTTAAATATCTGACCTCTCTGCCTTATTTTATTTATTTTTAAATATGTGTTTATTGATTTTTGAGAGAGAGAGAGGAAGGGAGAGAGAGACAGAAACATCGATGTGAGAGAGAAACATTGATCAGCTGCCTCCTGCATGCCCCCTATTGGGGATCAGGCCAGCAACCCAGGCATGTGCCCTGACCGGGAATCAAACCAGGACCTCTCTGTCCATGAGATGATGCTCATTCCACTTAGCCACATCAGCCAGGCTCTGCCTTATTTTAAAACAGTGCAGGTTTAATTCCCAGTCAAGGGCATGTACCTGGATTGCAGGTTTGATCCCAAGTGTGGAAGGCAACCAATTAATGTGTCTCTTTCACATCAATGTTTCTCTCTCCCCCTTCCACTCTCTCTAAAAATCAATGGAAAAAATATCCTTGGTGAGAAACAAATCTAAACAATTGCCCATCTTTATTCATAATGATTTGGCTCTCTAAGTGGCAGGGATATTTCTAAGATGGTACTTTAAAATTCCCTCATTTCTACTTCGGGGGCCCTTGAAACTTCTGATGAGAGCCGCAGCCATGCAGCCCAGGTTCGAGTCCTTCTGATTTTAGTATATGTGCTACCCAAACCAGCAGAGTCCTTCTGATTTTAACAATGAAACTGATTTAACATCAATTAGCAGCTTTCACCTGAAAGAGACTTTTAAAATGAGTTTCACTGTCTTGGTTTCTTTATTCACAGACAGCAAGTCCATGATGAAAAGATTTGCATTGTCCTTCCTCCCTGGACAATTTCATTTCCCAGTAGTTTCATTCCCAGAGAGTATTTGGAGAAAGAAAGAAAAAAAAAGCCCCCCCACCCCCGCAATTGTTTTGCCACTCATAAAAAGATGAGGTGGTTGGTTAAACAGAGAGTATGTACTTGGGGGTATTTCTGTAGCTCTTCCCAATTCTTTAACTATATGTTACTAGGAACAGACTTGAGTTTACAAAAACTTACAAGTATACCTGTCAGGTCCTACAACTCTTGTAATCAGAAACTTTAATAATAAAGCAAATTGAATCATGTTAAAACCAGTTGAAGAGGTTGATATCTAAGAAGTGAGTCTTGGGTAAACTTTTTTTGCTAAATTAAGGACATTTAATTATTCTCTAATTTATGATTTAAAAATCTGGATTCTATATTATATGCTTATATAGATATTAATACATTCAATTTGAGGAGTAGCCTAAATGTGGTTTAATACTCAATCCCTGTGGTTTAATACTGGAGTCATTTTGTAAAAGGATGCTCTGACGATGCATACCCAGAATGTCAGAAAAATGCAGTTAAGTAATTGTTATGGAGCAGCTGCTGTTACATAACTGTGTGTCACTTAAAATAAAAGGCATTCATAGCATATCCAGGCACATGAAATAATTTAGCAAGTGAGGCATCAAGGGTTATAGTAGCCAATGAAAATAGCCTTCTCAATGCTCCAGACGTATTGTGCAAATTCAGGTACTGTATGTTATCTACTCATAGGGTCTTCCTGCAGTGGCCCTCCCTCTTTACCCAAGCTTATGTGTGTGAATGAGCTTCCTACATACTTTTCTCCATATGTAATAACATAACTTGTGAATTCTCACGCATAGCTACTCTAATAAATACTTTGCGTTGCTTTTTTTTTTCTTTTTAATTTTTTTTTTCTTTATTGATTTTAGAGAGAGGGAGAGAGAGATAGAAACATCGATGAAAGAGAACACTGGTTGGCTGCCTCATGCATGCCCCCTCTGGGGATTGGCCCACAATGAACTGGTTCGATGCTCAGCCACTGAGCCACATCAGCCAGGTTGCTTATTTCAAGCAATAAATATATTACTGTAGTTCCCTCAGAAGATTAGAATAGTCTGGAACCTTTTGGGTTTTGTTAGAAAAGCTGTTTCTTTTTTTCTTTTTCTTTTTTTTTTTTTTGTGGTATGTGCCCCTAGCGGGAACCAAACCTGGGACTCTCTGGTCCGCTGGCCGACGCTCAACCACTGAGCCAAACTGGCCAGTGTTTCGAATTAAACACTTCAGTTAATTTCTTTTTAATGCTGAGTATTTATTGAGAGTGGAATCTTTCCAGTAGCCTGATCTTTTTATTGTATAATCAACAAGAAGGATAACTTTAAAAAAAATGTTTTTATTGATTTTTTTATAGAGAGAGGAGGGGAGAGAGAGATAGAAATATCAATGTGTGAGAGAAACATTGACCGCTGCCTCCTGCACTCCCCACACTGGGGATCGAGGCCAAAACTCGGGCATGTGCCCTGACTGGGAATCGAACTGGGACCTCTCAGTCCACGAGTCAACACTCAATCCATTGAGCCACACCGGCTGGACACAAATGACAACTTAAAATTTTTTTAAAATTAATTTTAGAGAGAGGAAGTGAAAGGCAGAGAGAGAGAGAGGAACATTGATGAGAGAGAACATCAATTAGCTGCCTCCTGCATGTCCCCCACTGGGGATTGGCCTACAACCTGGGCATTTGCCCTGACCAGGAATCAAACTGGAAAGCTCTTGGTGTGTGGGTTGACTCTCAGCCACTGAACCACACAGGCCGGGCCAAATGACAACTTTTAAAATAATTACTTGTGCCAGTAAAGAAAAATGTATATAATACACAGAACAGTTGGTTAATACCTAGAATGTACACATATTTTCAGATATTCTTACATCTTTCACTTCCTCAAATACTAGACTTCACCTTCCTGTCAGAATAACCCTCCACTACAGGAAACAGCAAGGAAAAGGAAATCACCACCATAGATTGTTTTGCAGTGCACTGTTGATTTTATTTCAGTGAATCTTTTTTTTTTATTTTTTATTTTCCAGGCTTGAGTCCTAGGGAGTAAATCTGAGTCATGACAGTTATGACTTCAACAAATTTTTTAGAACCCTGGGGCAGTTACAAAGGAGTTTGAGGCCAGAGGCATACTTAACATTTAATGTCTACTTTGTCTTTTTGTTTTTTAGTGTCATGGGAGATGAGCAATAGTGTGTCTTGACTAACCCCCCCCCCCCCCCAATATTACCATCTGGGGGAAAGGGAATTTTTTTTTAGCAATTTACCTTCATATTCTGAGAAATACTTCAATAAATTAAAAAATGAATATACATATATTTAAATGTTTGTAGTAGGATAGTCAAGTCTGAATATAAGAGTGAGTTGCACAGTGATGAAGCAAATTTAAACAACATGACTATTCTTCTCTGATGTAATTGTTGCCCATTCTAAAAAGGAGTTTATGAAAGCCATAATTACCTTGCCTTATTTGGGGAGAATTAAGCAATGAATAGACTGTCACATTTAATATCGATACAGGTAAAATTTCTATATCCTCTATGTACAATTAGCTAACTGCTAATTATAAGATTGGTTTGTCATAATATAGATTATTTTCTGTCAAAATAAAAATTCTAAAGTAAAAAAATCAAGCCCTAGGTTCTGAAGGACATCAATAAGGATATTTTTGAGTTGACTATGATTGTAGCTTTGGAAATCAATTTCTTAAACAATTGAGACTTACTGTACAAGGCTATGAAAATTCTAATACTTCTGCAGTAGAATTTGCTATATATTGAAAATTCATTCTTCATAATAGTTTTCAGAAGCCTTCTTGTCATTTTTGTATGTAGCTTCATTTTTTGGACACATTGAAGAATCGAGGTCTAATGTAATCCTTATACATAGAATAGAGAACACCTAGAAACAAAAGATGTATATCAATAGAGCATCCATAGGAAACAAACACTGAATTTCTTCCACTTGCATTTTTCCAAAGCTAGCCCACAATTTAAAAACAAATGCCTCCCATCTTACTAATTTTTGGCTTGGATTATGTAAGTGGCTTTAGAAAAAACAACCAAAAAAACCCCCTAAGAGCCATTTAAGGTTAGTATAAATCTGAATTTATGAAGTTATTATGCCACCCTAAAGTTTGAATTTTAAAATATTGGTGAAAAAGGAAATGGTAGTACTTGGCTAAGTATTAAGATTGAAAATAATAGTCACCTCAATTAGCAAACATCCATTCACTGTATGCTTGTGCTCAGTATCCCAAGGAAAACAAAGGTGAACAGATCTAATATCTGCTTCTGGGGATTTACAGTCGACTGGATGAAATAGCTGTGAGTTTAGGCAGAAGAGATAGATGTGTATCTTCCACAAGATGCGGTCTTAGGGCCATGCAGAAGAAGGAGCAGGGTGAGGAATGGAGGAGCTGCTTCAGTGAATTCCAGGGATGTCCACAAATGTTTGTACCAAAGCAAGTTAAGGAGCCTGAGATTTAAAGCACAATTCGCCCTGGCTGGTTTGGCTCAGCGGTTGGAGCGTCAGCCTGCGGAATACAGAGTCCGGGGCACGTACCTCGGTTGCAGTTTGTTCCCGCCCTGGTTGGGGTCGTGTGGGTGGCAACCACTTGATGTGTCTCTCGCCCACTGATGTTTCTCTCTCTCTTCCCCCCTCTCTCCCTCCCACTCTATCTGAAGATAAATGCAAAAATATCCTCGGGTGAGGATAAACATTATTTTTAAATAAAAAAATAAAGTACAATTCATCCCCCTTTTGTGCATATCAATTATTAAGAAATCAGCTATCTAGTGGGTTGTCTAAACCAGTGGTTCTCAACCTTCCTAATGCCACGACCCTTTAATACAGTTCCTCATGTTGTGATGACCCCCAACCATAAAATTATTTTTGTTGCTACTTCACAACTGTAATTTTGCTACTGTTATGTCTTAGGCGACCCCTATGGAAGGGTCATTCAACCCCCAAAGGGGTCGCGACCCACAGGTTGAGAACCCTTGGAACTAAATCCTTTGGCTTCCTTTCTGACACTGCTTGTTAATATCTTCAAAGACTACACAGAGGATAAAGGGTCAGTAAGCTAGTTGTTCTCATCTCAACATGATAGTACAATGAGGCAGATGTCTGCATTTTTTTCTAAAGAAATAGTATAACTATCGTAGATGCATAAAATTCAAGATAAAAATTTTTTAATTTGAATCATTGTGGTGTTGATGGAAATAATCTCAGATTCAGAGAGAATTATAGGACTTACTTCCTGTGCTTTTTTTTTTTTTTTTCTTAAAACAACAGAAATGTGTTGTCTCACATTTCTGGAGACTAGAAGTCTGAAATCAAGGTTATCAGCAGACTTGGTACTTTCTGAAGGACATGAGGGAGTATGTACTCCATGCCTCTCTCCTGGCTTCTGACAGTGGCTGTACTCATTAGTGTTCCTTGGCTTATTGACGCATTGCTCCAGTCTCTGCCTCCATCATCACATGGCCTCCTCTCCCTGTGTTCCCTGTGCTTTTCAGACACAGAGAAATCTTACCTCTTGCCTGCCTCTTCAATGTTGGTGTTCCCTGGAGTTCTGATCTCAGTCTTTTTTTGTTTTATATATATATGTTTTTATTGATTTTTTTAGAGAGAGAAGAAGGGGGAGAGATACAAACATCCATGTGAGAGAGATAAATCGATTGGCCTCCTGCCCGCCCCCTACTGGCGATTGGGCCCACAATCTGGGCATGTGCCCTGACTAGGAATCAAACTGGGACCTCGGTTTGATTCCTAGTCCATGGGATGATGCTCATTTCACTGAGCCACACCAGCTGGGCTAATCTCAACAATTTTCATGTCATAGTCACACCTGTTGCTTCACTGGTAAGGAAGTTAGATCTCTAAGTTCGATTTCTCCTCTGCATGTGAGACCCATATATATTCAATGTACCATATGTGATATTTCTACATCTCCTAGGAAGGTGGTCTCCAAACTTTTAAATTGTGCATAAGTATGTATGTTGAGCAGGCCCCTCAAGATGCATATTTATCTATAAACAGTATAAATGTCCTATGGTCAGCCTATATATTAGTAAAGCTTTTTTGTTTTTGAGATAAAAATATTTTCTTCCCACATCCCCATGGATCTTCTTATACTTCTCCTAGGGTATGAGTACTCCAATTTAGAAACATCTGCCATAGGTATTTCAGTCAGCATAACATAAAATTGAATTCAGTCGATGGGGAAAAAAGGAGAAACATCTGTAACAAAAAGAAATTAATAAAAAATAAATAAAATATTTTCTAAAAAAAGAGTTCAGGCTCTGGAGTAGATTGCCCATGTGACTGTGAACAAGTAACATCCTCTCTAAGCCTCAGTTTTCTTATCTATAAAATGGGATAATAACAGTACCTACCTCACAGGGCTTTGTTGTTTAATCAAGACTTTGGTCTTTGTTCAGAGTTCCTGGTATAGATCTAAAATGCTTGCAGTTTCCCAAGTAACAGGAGTGTCTTTGTTATTCATGAGCCCCTTGAATCATACCTGAATGTATGCTAATGAGGTGACTCATGGTGGGCTCCTAGATAGCTTCAAGATGTGGCTAGTCAGCCAGAAAGACCAACTATGTGCACAGAGGGTTCTTAGGCCTCCAGGGAGGGGAGTAGGACTGGAGATTGAGTTCAGTCACACGGCCAGTGATTCAGTCAACCATGCCTACATAATGAAGCCCCAATAAAAGCTCTGCACACTCAAGTTCAGTGGAGTTCCTTGATTGGTGAATGCAATGATACTCTGGGAGTGTGACATGCTTGCTTCAGTGAATGTTCAGTATAAATATTGCAAATGTTTATACTCAAAGCAAGTTAAGGAGTCTGCGATTTAAACTACAGTTCATCCCCTTCTTGTCCATATCACTTTCAGGGGTGGGGAACCTTTATTCTGCTAAGGGCCATTTGGATATTTATAACAGTCACAGGCCATATATTAACTTCAAAATTAGCCTGCTATATTTGGTCAGGCTAATTTGGGGAGGCGTGTGATGTTAGCTAGTATTGATTTCTTGGGCCAGGTGCTCCCCACCCCTATGGCATAGGGAGCGGGCACAGAAGCTCTGAGCTTGCAACCCTCTCAGACTGTACCCTAACTGGCTGGTCCTGATTTCTGTACTTTGTAGTAAAAGTGTAATTGTATGTCTACTGCTTTCCCGAGTTATGTAAGTTGTTCTGGTGAAATCATCAATCCTGAGGGAGTCTTGGGACCTCCTGAATTTGTAGCCAGTTTATCAGAAGTGCAGATGGCCTGTGGACCCCCAAAGGCTGGTGTCTGAAGTAAGAGCAGTTTTGGGGGGGAACTGTGTCCTTAAACCTATGGCAGCTGGTGTGAGCTCCAGGTGGTGAGCATCAGCTCTGAATTGTATTGCAGTATTGCAGGTGGAGTGAAAGTAGGTATTTATTAAGATTAAATGAGATAACACTATATAAAGCAGTTAAGAGTGACTTGTACATCATAAGCACTCATTAGCTATTATTGTTTGGTCCATTGTGCACTCATCTTCCCATCAAACTTGTTCTTTCTTCTTTGTGAAAGGCAACCCTTACTTTTGGTTGCTCAAACCAGAAATCTAGGAATCATCCTTGATTCTTCCTTCCTTCTTCCAATCACTTAGTTGCCGAGTCCTTGATATTTCTAGAATCCATCTCCTGTTTCCACTGCCACTGCCTTAATTCAGATCCAAGTCTTCATCCTCTGTCTTTACTTTCCCCCCTTCGTTGTGAATCATCTCTAGTCATTTTATTTTTCCTCTTAATATTTTTTCTTGGTGAAATATAATATGCATGGAAAATAGTACGTAAATCTTAAATGACCAGATTAACAGGTAGTTGTAGAGTGAACACCTGTAATTATGGGTCAAGAAATAGAATATTGCAGGCATCCTTGAAGCCTCCTAGGTTTTGCTTTCTGACTATATCCCCCTCTTTTCCATAGGTGACCACTGTTCTGAGTTTTATGATAATTATTTCCTTTCTTTTCTTTATAGTGTGACTGTTTAATATACCTAAACAACCAGTTTCATATTGCCTGTTTCTGATCTTTCTATAAAGCGGGCATCTTTCTAAACTGCCATTCTGTGTTACTGGCCTGTTTAGACCCTTTACTGGCTCACTTTATCTTGTTACTCCTTATCTTGCAACCTTACAATCTTTTGGGGAATTTGTTTTCTATAGATTTAACTAAACTTTTGCTGTGTTTTCCAGAATTCCCTTCCCCACATAGTTCTGGGTTAGTTTGGCTCATGAGATCGTTTGCTTGAGACATGAAGGTGAATGTTGAAGCAGCAGCTGCCATGTCCGTCTTACACTTGGAAGGCTTGGTGCAGGACGTCAGGTGCTATTACAGTCTGTGCATGTTGTTTATCCGCTGGCTCACCTCGCTGTTGTTGGGCAGCAGGCCCATTGCTCCTCTGGCTCCATCTGCATCTCCTTCTATAGCTTCTCTGGCCAGGTGTGGATTAGCTCCATGACAGAGGGTGCTGCTTCTTCTACAGGTCACACCACGATTCGAGTTGGAGTCAGTGAGAGACTGACTCGAGTTTCCGTCTGTTTTGGTGGGTTCCAGTTTATCCTTACAAATACCAGTTTATTTTTCCTCCCACCTGCTGCCTTGCTAACTTCAGGGCCCAGCATTAGAAACATAAGCAACACGCCTAACATGGACTGTTTAACCAGCTCCCAAAATTGCTTAAGATCGCATCTCTGTAATCCTTTTTTATATATCATCTCTAGTGGTTTTCCTTCTCTAATTGAACCCTCATTGAGACAGAATTTAATACTGGCATTTCCAGAAGGATATAAACATGAGGATAGGTTCTTTGTATTGGTTCCGGGTTATTTGGAATTGGTTTTCTGGTCTGAGTAGA